AGATAATCACCTACTGCGCCTTTAATATACAGAATTGTATTGTAATTCAAATAACCATTTTATATGTTAAGAAATGTTTCAAAGTAATTCCTTTTTGTGGTGGCAAAGCTGAATTTTTAGCATCTTTAAAAGCCCTCAGTCTCACTCAATCCTTCAGAAAACATTTCCATATACTGATTCGTGCCTAACACTTTTCAGGATAAACTAATGAATAGAACAGCATTACTTTAAAATATCAACATTTTGTAACAATGGTCATTTATGAAAAAAATGCTTACTTTTAATTTTATTTAAAGAGGTCATACTCAGTTTTTAAAACAGCATTAATTTGGAGGGTGTGTAAATCTGCTGTTCATTAACTCTTTTTTTGAAGAGTTTGAATAATCATGTACCATTGTTGTTTTCTGATCTAATCAGTTGGCATCAGATCTCTCACAGAGTAACATGAGCAACTGCTAATGGTGACTGTCTTGTTCCAAAGTGTAAGATCTCTTGGTCAATCTGTTTAGTGAACCGAATTGTGGAATGATTAACCTGTTAGCCTAAAATTAAAAAGTAATATAAATGTTTTTTAGTAGTGTACTTTTAGTAGTGTACTTAAAAAGGGGTTGAAAACAAAACAAGTGTTTACACAAATAGTCTAATATTAGTTAGTTTAAACATGCTGCCATTGCTTTTACCTTATAGCTATTTTATGCTAAGACCTAATGTGCATATGTATTTATTTTATTTTCATTTTATTTTTAAATGTCTAGCCTTTCTTGGACAGGTGTTGAGAAATAGCAAGTCTGCCAAAACACTTAAACAAATGCATTTGGTTTGTCCAGTGTAATTGTGATGTTCATGTCATTCATTCATTTTCTTTTTGTCTTAGTATAAATCTGCGGTTGCAACAAAAGAATGAACCACCAAATTATCCAGTACATGTTTTATGCAGCAGATGCCCTTCCACCTGCAACCCAACACTGAGAAACACCCATGCACTCCTGCATTCAATTCACCTACAGCGCATGTCTTTGGATTTGTGGGGAAAACCGGAGAACCCGGAGGAAACTCACGCGAACATGGGGAGAACATGCAAACTCCACAACGAAAGGCCAACTGACCCAGCGACCTTTTTGCTGTAAGGCAATCGTGATACCCACTGCGCCACTCGGACACCCTATGTTTATGATAAACAAACTAAAGTGAAAGTATTTTCAAAATAGTACATTAATATGCTATATCAAATAATTTTCTACTATATTTTTCTTCTAGAACTGTGGTAAATAATTCATGATAAAATGTAAGGCACTTTGTTTTCTATCAATACTGTTCAATGTATAAAATGTGCTGAATAAATTAAAATTCCTGTTCCTATGCAATATATAGAGGTGAAGGAATGTACGCTATGCAGTGCTTTGCGTGGTGAATAGAGGACGGACTCTAATTCAGGCCTCAGCTTGCTGGTAAAAAGGCTAGGGTGTAACAGGAATGCCAAAAGAAGCGTAAGGAATGAGGTAAGAGCTGTTTAGACCTCCTCAGTGTTGTGATTGGAGGATTCAAGTCAACATGCTCCTCCTAAAACCACAAAGAGGAACTTTCAGTGGCAGTCAGACAAAGCTTCACCTACTATTGAGATCAAACAGACACAACTCTTCCGGACACATGATCTCACTCTTTCTCTCAGCTCACACCCTTCAAAACCAACATCTGTTCCTGGTGAGCAGTTGTATTCCAATAAGATAAGCTTACTTGACATTGATATGGACAAATAAATATGAGCGGAGAGTTTTTGTGTGAAGGCAGTGGGAGGCGGTATAGGAACAGCTTCATCTGAGCTGAGCAAACAATGGAAACTTGAAAAAAAAAAGCGTGACTTATTTCCCACTGTGACTGACCACTCATAACGTCTTGCATAACATCTGACCTCACTGCAGTGAACCTGGCACAGTGTTCAGCAGAAGCTTGTGAATTTCAACACATGCCTGGTGAAACCTGGTTATTATCTAGTTTTCCAGTCTGGATTGGTTGGTTTTAGTTGGGTTTTGGGGGGATGGTGAAATTACTCAGTTTACCCTTTTGAAAAGTTTGTTTTGGTGATCTTTAAAAGAATAGTTTAACCAGAAGTGGAAATTTGCTCACCCTCAGGTGGTTTCTTTTGTTCTGGTAAACAAAAAGGAAGGGAAGATGCTTTGAAGAATGTTATTGAGGGGAAATACTATGGGAGCTGCTGGTCTCCAACATTTCTCAAAGTTTCTTTATTTGTGTTCAGTGGAGGAAAGGAACTCAAACAGGTTTGGACAAGTGTGTGGTATGATAAGAGACTTTTCGTTTTGGGTAAACTCACCCTTTAGAAGGTTATTAGCTGAAAGCCCTTGCTATTCATGTAGTGCAACATGACATAAACATTTTATATAATAAAATAAAGAAAATAATCTTTATTTGTATAGCACTTTTACAGTGTAGATTGTGTCGAAGCAGCTTAACATAGAAGTTCTAGTAAATTGAAACTGGGTCAGTCCAGTTTTCAGAGTTGAAGTTCAGTTTAGTTCAGTTCAGTGTGGTGTAAATTTCACTGTTGAAAGTTCAAACACTGAAGAGCAAATCCATCGATGCGTAGCAACAGTCAAAACTATTAATATTCACAACTCCTGATGAATCATTGAGGTTTTATTGAATAAAACAATCAATTTGTTCAAGAAAGATTGTTTTGTACAGCATTATTACATCACAGCAGCATCTGGTCAAGTTTCCAGACCAATAATTGATGTTAAAATAAATTCCTTTCTGATTTTTCATTTTTAGGTAAACATTGCATTTAATAGAAGGGCTAGATTTTATCTGCTTTATAGCTGGTCCAATATGATCTACCAGCAATATTTGAAACCTTTAAAGGGCACCTATTTTACCCCCTTTTTCAAGATTAAAGATATGTTGTTTGCTTTTTTTGTTGCCTGTGCCTTTTATGCTAGCTCTTCCCACCCACTGTTCCCATGTGGCTGTCAGAGTGTGCCTCAATCTCTGGCTGCCTGTGTCAGATAAACAGCACAGTGACAGACATAAAGAAAGCAGATCACACGTAATGTTTGTGAGAAATACTACAGTAAGAACTTTACCAATGATTATTTCATGTATTTGTTGTGGAGTTATTTCAAGCCTTTCTGCAAGGAGGAGTCATTGTCATTACAAAGTTCACGCACACACACACAGTGTGCGGTTTAACTTTGCACTGTTTTTGCATGGCAAATGTGACAGGATACACGTTAACATCCACCGCTGTATGAATGTCCATTATATTAATGTACAAAATAAACCTGATTTCCACAAACTAAGATAGAATTGCCTTCTTAATAATTGTACTGACATGCGGTTGTGGTGTTAAAGGAAAGATGGTAAAATATCTGTAATTCATTACAAACATGCACTGTTAAAACTCATTCTTGATCACATTTTATGATGATTGATGATCACAGCGAGCTAAACAGATCTTTTAATCCCAGTAGCTTTGCACACATTCTGTCTTGTTGATATGATTATATGCGTTACTACGGAGACATGTTAATATGCTGCTGTCAATCAAACCGTTGAGCTGGGAAACCACACTCATATGTTATGTTGTTGTGGCCCTTAAAATGAGAGGGATTTGGGTCCTATTTTAACGGTACATTTTTAAAAATAGGTTTATTGTCTTTATATCACCCCAATATGACTGTGGACACACTACACCGACACACAGATCTGTCCAAACAGCTTACAAAAGATGATTTTCATCATATGTGCCCTTTAAGTAAAGGAACAGTTCACACACACAAAAAAATGTTAATTATGTCACCATTTACTCACCCTTTACTTGTTTAAAACCTTTTTGAGTTTCTTCTGCTGAATGCAAAAGAATATATTTTGGAAAAAGCTAGAAACCTATAAAAACTGACTTTCATATTTGAAGTTAGCCTAATGGTTACAGGCTTTAAACTTGCTTAAAAAAAACTCATTTTTCGTTCAGTTTAATAGAAAAAGACCTTTATAAAGGCTTGAAACCACAAGAGCATAACTAAATCAGGCCTGTAGCCAGGGGGGTTTGGGTGGTTTGAAAAATCCACCCCTCACTGACAAAAGTCCAGAATTGATCCCCTATATGAGCTCATTTATCCTATTTTGACTTCTATGCTATCATAAATTGTGAAACTAACTAATCAATGAATGCTTTAGACCAAGAGGAATCTCCTGTTGGATTATTATTATTATTATTATTATCATGTTTGAATAAAATGTGTGTGTGAATTATTCAAATGGCCAAATTCTGACTGAGGTAAGTTGAATGTAGTTGGCGGTCCGCTGTAGTGACCCCTTATGAATAAAGGGAATAAGCCGAAGAAACATGAATGATTATAAAATTGTATTTTAAAAATAAGTATCTTTTCCTATTTCTTTATTCTAAACTTTCAAATTTAAAATGCTAACATTATTATATCTCAACATTACTTTTTAAAAATAACTTAGTTTAAATGCACATTTGTAAATAAACACAACGTACTAATGCAAGTAACTTGGCAAAACGGTAGGAAATATTTTGTTACATCAAAAAGTGTGGTTATATCACCATCTATCAAGCTAGTCCAGCCAACTTTGTTCTTAAACTTCACTAAAATTCAACATTTAAACCTCAATCAAATAGAAAATGTGGCAAATACCTGAGTTAATTTTCATTTTTGCGTCAACTATTCATTTACATTCTATAGATTTGCCCTCAACATAGCCTATACTGAGCCCAAATCAACCAGTTGTAGTACAAGAAACTCACAAGTAGTCCAAATTCCAGGAAAAGCAAACAGCAGGCAAATCGTTTTTATTCCCACTGATCACTTTAATGAAAGTCAATGTAGGCTACTGTATGGTAAATACGCTTTTTTAATACCCCGCCCTGTTTTACATAGAACTGGGAGGAGTGGATGCATCAAGGACAGATTCTGGAGACAGCAGGATGTGAACGCTCTCACAGCTGGAACCCAAAGGTAACCATGACTTTTAGCAAAGATAAAAACAGACGCTTTTCTTAAAATCGGGTTTGGTTGCTGAGCGCTGGGATTTGCTGGCTGTTAAGTTTGTTTGTTTCGGTTTTTATTTTAATGCTGTGTGAGGAGCGCGAGACAGAAGTCCTCGGCGTGCGTGCGGGTGAGTTTTTGACGTTAGCAGGTTCGCTAAAACACATCCGCAAACACTTACTTTTTGCTTTACACCATTGTTAAAATAATGGCGGAAGCTCTCTCACTTTACAACTGCTGTGTTGAGTAAAGCTAAAGCGACTGCGGCTGTGTTTTTGACGTTTTTCCCGGTCTGAAGTAAAGTTCGCTTGATTTGTTATTTGTACGGCGTCACCTGGTGAGATCGTTGGCCATTATTCTGTCTCTAAGTATGCTACATTATGATGGTTAAAACAGCAAATGGCTTCAGGAAATATAAATTACTCGCAAACCGATTCAGAGAACTCCGCTATAATCCAAAACAGCCATTAACATTTAGTCACAGGGTGTGTGTCAGTGGAAACTGTGTATCCTATAATAACTATGCTTACGCGTGTGTATGTAGTTGCCCAGTGCATTTAAGTAGGTGCTGGGCTGTTGCCTATTTACTATGGTAGAAAAAATGGATACGAATTGTTCTCTACTTTCAGTTTCACAACTGATTTGATTGAATACTAATTAGGTTATCGTGTCTTTAATGGAGCTGTGTGACCTGTCTGATCATGTCTGCTCTGTAGTTCTATAGTAGGCTCTATATGGTTGGCTAACTGTGGTTTCAGTTAACGTATGAACAGGAGCACTTCCCGTTTAACTTGATGCTTCAATTGCCATAACAAACTTTTCACATGCTTTATTTCGCCTAAGCACTGTGCAGTTTTATGCTATGTGACTTCTTATTTGAATATAATTTGCATTGCAGCTCTTGTACAGACTGTGAAAAAAAATCAGTTTGATTATAACAATGATATTGTTTAGGCCTACTGTATCTGGTTGTTAGCTGTTTGGGCAACTTTTTGTTGTAATTACTTTCTAAAAATCTAGTTTAAGCAAGATGCTATTTTAGCTACAGGTTTTGCTTCAAGCTTCTAAGCTCTCATTGGTGTTATTGTTGTATTTTAACATCAAGTGCTTGCTTTTATCAGTGATACAATGTAACTTAAATGTATTCAGACGATCTCCTGAAGGGAAGTAAATGCCAGCTGAAGATTAAATCAGTGGCCACTTCCAGGAATCAGAATAAGGAGTAATACCTGTTTGATTCTGATCAAAGAGAAACTTGAGAAAACAAAGTCCTCTAATTAGTTTAAGGGTTTTGCATGAGTACCAGCGGACTCTGAAGTAATCAATCATTAAAATGATGTGCAAATGAGACATTTTCTATTTTTTTGCTTGGTTTTGGTGACGTTTTTGGCAATCTGATTGACTAACTTTGGGTGAGAAAACTGAACTGAGACTTTGATATACTGTAGCTAATCATCACATTGATAGTGGCACTACAGTGACAGTCAGTATTTGCAGAAGTCTATATATGTCATACACACAACATTATTTTCATTTTGCAAACTGCAGTGTTTATTTTGACTGTAGATATTGATTTGAATGTTTGTGGTTTGACAAAGATGCCATTCTGTTTTATCCATGTTTTAGGTATCTAAATCAATTTACATGACTAAATGTGTGGGTTTAGTTAAATTTAGTGTGGTGGAATTTTCTCACATCAATGGGATTGAAATTAAGGTTTGCAATTTTTACAGATGTTTTACTTTTTACTTCTCTTTATTTTTCTTAAAGATAAAAGCACATATAAAGAAACAAGAACATGGCGTTTAGTGTACATCCTTTATAGAAAAAATTTTTTACATTAATTTAATCCTTTAACTGCGTGCTTTACCAAATAGTTTTAAATAACGGTTTATACACAAAGCATTGTTGATTTACAAAAAAATCAAACAAACTTAATCCTGTTGCACTACTTCACTTGATTTTGGATTTATTATTAAAAAAGAAAAAAACATGTTAAATAAGAATCTGGCTTCAATATTTTATTGCAAACCTAAATAAAAAAAAAGATGATTTAGTGTTTAAAAATGTTTTATTTTTAATATTTTCTTAAATAAATTGGTCTTATACTTAAAATTTTTGGATTTTTCATAGTATATGTTTGAATTCTTTTTACCATAAACTAACACAACTACCATTTGGTAAAGAGGTTGATATTTTAGAAATTATGGGATGTGTTGAAAAAAAATGCATTGAGCTTGTTAAATAGTGACATTAGAAGTTAGGCAATGCAAAGGGCTTGTTAAAGGTTTAGGTGGACATTCATTTACATTAATTTAATAAGATAAATGATAAGAACAAGTCAAGAGTGACTGATTGTTTTTTACTTTGACTTTTAAACATTACCAGAAACCAGCAGATACAGTAGATTAGCCTGCTGTCACTTTAAGATCTAATACATATTTTGTCAATCCCATATAATATGAAAAGTTTACAGTGGTATTCATCAAAAATGTAAATGAAATTATATCATAAATTAAAAATAGCCTTTCCGTTCTTGTATGGTGATCAAGAGGTGGCATTCTATGTACAAACTTTAGATAAACATAGAAAAACATAGCAAATTCAGTTCTCTTTTATGTCATTGTACAACTTTGAAATTCTTAATATTTTCTTGCATTAGATGTGATCAGTTTGATTTTAAATGTGCACATCCAACCTTAAACCTCATTGCATGTTAACAAATCATAACTCATTCATTCATTCATTTTCTTTTCGGCTTAGTCCCTTTATTAATTCAGGGTGGCTACAGCGGAATGAACCGCCAACTTATCTAGCACATTTTTACGCAGCGGATGCTCTTCCAGCCCCAACCCATCTCTGGGAAACATCTACACACACTCGTACACTACGGACAATTTAGCCTACCCAATTCACCTTTACCGCATGTATTTGGACTGTGGTGGAAACCGAAGCACCTGGAGGAAACCCACGCAAATCATACAGTTTTTTGTCATTTCATCATTATTACTTACTCCCAGGGCCATTTATCTTAAAGTTGACATTTAGGCGCACAACATTGGTGTTTTGCAACATCTATTTTTTATGAGGTGGGTTGTTAGCCCAACCCTCAACCCCTAACCTGGAGGACCAGGACATACAAGCATACACTACAGACAATTTAGCCTACCCAATTTACCTATACTGCATGTCTTTGGACTGTGGGGGAAACCGGAGCACCCGGAGGAAACCCACTTAAACACGGGGAGAACATGCAAACTCCACACAAATGCCAACTGACCCAGCCGGGGCTCGAACCAGCAACCTTCCTGCAGTGAGGCGACTGCACTAACCACTGTGCCACCGTGTCACCCATTTCATCTTTATTAGGATACAAAGATGTCAGTAGATAATTTTATTGAATTTTGTCTTTCAAAATACTTCAATTGTCACATTTTCGTTTGTGAAAAATTTATGAAAACTAAGGGAAGTGATTTGCTTATGAACTGAACTGTATGTTTTAATAAAAATCTTTTATTTTACTTGTGCGTTCAGAATTTAGAAAGAAATTTTTACACATTATAGGAAAAAAAACTCTCATTAATTTACAAATTAACTCAAAATATTTTCCACCTTGTCTCCCCCTCATGGCATACCATTGTGTTTTGTGGTCACTGGAGCATCTTAACTGACTTTATGGAAACCAGAACTTTCCTTTTTTGGCTTAACTGTTAATCGACGTGCATGACATTTCCCCATTGTGGCTTTACCTCATTAACAGTACACATTTACAATCTCTTCCTCCATATTAACGACTGTGAAGTCAGAATGAGGTTCATTCCTGCCTGGTTTTCACTAGCATACAGAATGTTAGCCTCATTACAAAGACATTGCATGCTCTTAGGGAATGCAGAGTCTTCATCAAGTCTGTGCTTGATTTTTCACACAACCTTCATACCAGGCTCTTCCATGGCTGTTGCAGTTCATTTAGATTTTGTGAGGTAAATCTGATGTAGTTTGAATTGTAAATTCTACATGTTATAATGAAAGAAGTGCTGGTTACATATTGAACCACGTTTTATTTTCCTTGTGCTTGTGGCGAGAAGACTAGGACCAGGTTTTGCGCGATGTGAGTCAGTGGGGTTTTTAACTAACCAGGGTAAATCCCTTGGAGTTACACTCATCAAGCAGTTCCATGATGACTCAAGTAATGCTTTTCAGTGCACGCTTGTGGCCGTAAGGTGTTACCCTGTTTCATTTTAATCAATTAAATGGAAGCCTTTCAAAGTAACCTACAGGATGTGGTTAAAGTGAAGAGGTTTATCTTAAGAGATCCCAGCAAACATACTAAGAGGTGTGGCTTGGAGGGGGACTTTCTAGCATTTTGTGGATTTCTTCGGAAGTGTCCTTTTGTTAATACACTCTGTTTCATGTCCTATTCTCTTGGTCACTGGCATTCCATTTAGCCACCACATGGGAAATACTCCACCCAACTCCAGACCGTTCACTTTGGTGATAAAGTGTTCACCCTCTTCCAGGAAATCTGCTCAGTGTCTTCAGATTTATTGAACTGTTAAAGGGCAGATGAGGCTGCTAATGGCTTTGTTGTTTTTTTTGCGCTTGGCAAGCTGCATGTACAGAAAATATCATATTTCATGTGTACATGGATTTAATTTTATTAAATTATTATTTTGTTAAGGAATACTAATTTCATCAAATTCTGAAAAATATAATAGATTTCATAATTATAGTCAATTTAAGTAATATTTCCTTGGCACTAAATCAACATATTATTTTTTTTTTGAGGCATTCGTGTGTAGGTTTGGGAAGATAACCATTTTCTTGATATACCACGGTTTGGAAAAGTCAAGGTTTTAAAAGTTTTCTGCAATACCGCTCCTTAGGTATGTGTGTATGTGTACGATTTCTTGTATTTTTTTTTTTTTTTTTTTTTTCGTTTTTTAGGACAACAGTATCTCCAGCAGAAAAGATACCCAAAAGATGGCATTTTAAATAGTAAATTAATAATAATAATGTGTTTTTGAAACAAATGAAGACAGCAGAAGTCAATAATTAATTTAGCCTGACATGTTTACTGTTCCAAAATATTTTAACTGTTACTCAAAATAAAATGTATCGTGTTCAAAAGGGAAAAAAGTTTTTATTTTTACCCAGACATTTAAAAAGAATACAGTTTAGAGCAGTAATCACAATATTGTGAAACCATGATATTTTTATCTACAATTATTATGCAATTTGGGGAAAATATCTAATTGGGATTTTTTATTTTTATTTTATTTTTTTACTATGTATTTCTTTTCTTTTTTTTTGTAATTCAGTTTTTTATTTCCGAAAGTGAGAATATACAATTTTTACAATCAGATATTTACTTTGTATTTCAAGGTGATTTTGATTTTTTGAATTCAAGCTTCAGCTAAAAAATATGTAAGTCATGGCAACAATTCCGCGACTGCTCTTAAAAATGACTTGTTTTTTCGGTGTCTGTGACTTTAAAACTAAAATATTCCCACATTATAAATGCTGTTTCTTTGATATTCATTTGTATATTAATGCTTTTGAAGCAACAGACGCCATAATCCCACTTGTCAGCACTTTCTTGTTTTCTTTTCTTTCTTTATTTGTGGGCGTAGCTCCGTTGCGTAATTCTTATTGGGCAGAATAAAAGTGTGTCCACTCAATAGACTAGTTATAAAGCCCTGGTCAGTTCACACAATTTCTGCATAATTTCCTTGACGTAGGGTGTCATTGGGAGTCATACTGTAAATGACAAATGGACATCGTGACACAAGCTTCAATCGTTTCCTCTCATGCAATGTGGCATGACAACCGATATTATGTCTGCGATGCCTCACAACACCATCGCAGAAAGTCTAGCATTTCTAGCATAGTTTAATTTTCTGAAGCATAGCAGACTCTTTAAAAAGCACTTCACCTCAGATGTTATTCGTTATTTTTGCTTGCATATATACATATATATTTTATATTGCAGCCTCTTGTGATTAAAAAAAATTGCAATGTTTCAAATAGCGATTCGATTTCAAATAATCGGAAAGCCCAGCTGCCATAGAAATCTCAATGGCTCAATTTATTGTTAGTCATTCATTCATTCATTTTCTTTTTAGCTTAGTCCATTTATTATTCTGGGGTTGCCACAGCGGAACGACTGCCAACTTATCCAGCATATGTTTTACTTGCAACTGCAACCCATCTCTGGGAAACATCCAAACACTCTCATTCACACGCATAGACTACGGACAATTTAGCCTACCCAATTCACCTGTACCGCTTGTCTTTGGACTGTGGGGGAAACGGGAGCACCTGGAGGAAACCCACGTGAACCAGGAAAAACATGCAAACTCCACACAGAAACGCTAACTGACCCAACCGAGGCTTGAATCAGCGTCATTCTTGATTTGAGGCAACAGCACTACCTATTGCACCACCGTGTCACCATTTATCGATTATTACTATTTATTTTTTGATTAAATAAATTTTTTAATTGTTATTATTAATAATAATAATAAAAAATAAGAAATGCTGGTTTTGAAAGCATAAGAGACACACATTTTTAAAATAACTAGAATAAATAGTAATGCATTGCTTTTTCATCAATTCTGCTAAGTAAAGCTTGGTTTTACATGTTATTTATTTTGTCCATTTTTCTGAGCTTGTGTGTTTGTGATCTTCTCCTGATCTCTATACAGCCATGAGTTTGCAGCCTTTGCTTGAGAAATGCTCTCTTAAAGGGATAGTTCGAGCAAAAAAACAAATTCTGTTGTAATTTACTCACGCTTTACTTTTTTTGACTTTTTTACTTTTGAAAAGGAAAGATATTTTGAAGAAAGCTGGAAACCGGTAACTCATAACTTCCAATTTATCTGCTTTTCCCCACTATGGAAGTCAGTGGTTACTAGGCATGGGCCAGTATAAGATTCTGATGGTATATGATAACCTTGGATAAAAATACCAGGCTTTCAGGGTATTGTGATTACTGTTCTAAAATATGTTCTCTTTAAATATATGGCTAAAAACAAATAGTTTTTCCCCTTTGGACACAATATATTTTAATTTGAGAAACATTTCAGATATTTTGTAACAGTAAACTGCAGTTTTAAAAACTTGCCTTTTCCAAACCGTGGTATAACTTGCAAGCGGTTATCGTCCCAGGCCTAATGGTTACAGGTATTCAGCTTTCTTCAAACTTTCTTCTTTAATTCAGCAGAGGAATGAGTATAATAAAGCTGTGGAACCGCATGAGGTTTAGCAAAATTAGTAAGTTATTTTTTATTTATGATTTTGCTGGACTATCCCTTTAATTTTTTATCACAGACGGACTGATTTGTTTTCATCCTTTAACGTAGTCAATCATGTGTAACCATAATCTTCAAAAAACCTGTGAAGGGCTGAAGTCACACATGCAGATTATCATCAGAGTAGATGAACAGACAATGCTGTTAACCAGACAAGGTGCTAAATATAGTTTTCTCTGTTCTGATTCATGCACGCACATGACATCAGCTTCCTGCAATGTATTGCTGATTTGTTTAAGTTTTTAACGTAATTTCTGTACACATCACATTGATACACAACGTCTTTGCTGTATATGGTGAAACTGAGTTTTAGTCCACATTAGAAGGTCTTGAGCTCAGTATTGAAAAATAAAAATATAACTGATGCATGACCTGAAAAGAAAAAAAAAACTTTATTTTTATTATAAGTAGTGCTGAAATTCATTGTTTTAATTTGATGGACTGTTAGATGTGTCTGTCTAACAGTTACATGCAGATACATGCATTTTTGACCGTACATGATAGGACAGCATGCTTGCAATTTTAGCATATTCTGTCAGCTTCAAGTATAATAAGAGAAAAATAATCGCAACAACATTGAGGAATTGATTCTTAAAGAAGTAGGAATCGTAATCAAGTTCATTTCCAAAAGCTTTGGGATTTATCAGCCCTAATATACACATTTCAGATTTAAGAATGATTTATAAGGATTAGTGGTATGTTTTCCGTCTTTTGGCTTTATTCTTGGCAAACAGTCATCCTCTAAATCAAGGGGGTGTCCAAACTCTGTCCTCTAGGGCCGGTGTCCTGCAAAGTTTAGTTCCAACCCCAAGTAGACACACCTGGGCTAGCTAATCAAGCTCTTACTAGACTTTCAAGAAACATCCGTGCAGATGTGTTAAAGTAAGTTGGAGCTAAAATCTGACATTGGCCCTCCAGAACCGAGTTTGTGCACCCCTGCTCTAAATCTTTTGACCAAACTATGCAAGGTTAAAGAAAATATGATCCACTCTTTTACCTGCACTAAGAATAAACATGATTCATGCAAACAATATTTACAAAGGAAACCCTGAGAACTGGAAACTTAGAGACAAAACAAAATTGTTCATACAATTTTTTTTACTATTATATACATGTTAATATATTTGCTTGTATATTAGGCTTATGATTATGACAGGACTTTTTGTTTGTTGCTGTTTGGTGCACACATTTGGTGATGAGTTTGGTCACTGCTTGTAGAACCCTATATCATAGAAGGGTTGAACAAAAGTTTTTTTTTAAATAAGTATTTTAAAGAGTGTTTTGTACAATTTAAATACCTAAGAAAATGTCAGATTTTTCTCTATTATTATAATGGCAGTGCAAGTAAATAAATCTGCCCGCAGTACAGAATCAGTTATATATCTTGCAAAAATTGACCAAAAGAAATAGCAACAATGTATGTCAATTTGTATTAATAGATGAAGTTGTGGTGTCTCTTGGCAACTGTAACAAACTCTGTTCTGCTTTGCATATTTTTTAACAACAAGTTCTTCTTTATTGTACCTGTCCAGGATGTGCTGTTCTTTCTTTCCTCTCATTACATTTACAATACATACTTTCTTTGTCATGTTAGAAAGTGTAAATATGTTCTGTCTTCTAATAACTGCAGAACAAATGAATCTAGATCTGTAGCACTAAATCGACCACCCCATGTTGTATAATCCTATTAGTTTTCTGCATTAGTTGCTAGGGTTTTTGTTGCTTACGGGTTCACAGTTGCTTACGTTGGTGGTAACCAACAACAGTATGATTAACCAGCAACCTGGTTGGTTTTACAAACCAGTAAAATTCTTTCACAAGCAGTGCATGCATTGTCTGTTCACTCTTACAATCCAGCCCGACGTTAAACAATTTGCCTTGTGAAAGTGTGTTGATTTGAGGCAGAGAGAGTCAGTCATTGTTTACACAGTAAATGTGGTGTTAATTATTAATAAGAGACTTCACCTCATAGAAACTCCCACTGTTCTTCTGTCTGACCATAAGTGCACTAAGTAGGAACACTTAGAGCCTGGACTGTAGTCATCAGTGCCCTCAAAATTATTTTCTGCTTTCTAGACATTGTTTTTTAACAAGAAGTTGTTGAACGTCAGCTTCCTCGATGTTGCCTTTGTTTCACAGAATTGAGTTGCCTTATATTAGTAACCCTATTGAGGTAGTTTTGTTCTTATTAAATAATGTTAGTGGGAAGCTATTTCTCCTAGACTCATTATGCTCCATGGCAACAGTGTTTACTCTGTCTTCCCACATCTTCTACTCCTTCAGGAGTTTCGGAGGAAGAGATGCATGTAAGAGTGAAGTTCTCTTAAGACCTTCAAATGGAAAATTGGATTAGTATTTTTGGTTCATTGAAAAATGTTAAGCAAATGAAAACAAAATTAATTTCATTTGCTCAAATGGGAAAGTGTATGTCTGTCTGAACTCATCATTTCGAGCAAGGCCAGCAAATACTTAACTTTTTCAGACCACTTGGACCAATCCTCATGTGTGAACAGACTCTGTTTACTCTTGCTGTTTCTAATGTTCACTCTGTTCCAGCATGTAACCATTACTGCGTGTCTGTTTTTCTTTCTCCAGAACTGGATTTGTTTTCCACATCATCCCTGTTTCCGTGGTTGGTCTGTCAGGATGGGCTAAAAACAACTGCTAGCACCTGAGCAACTCACACCTGGACCCTTCATAGTCTCACCTGCACACAGGTAAACAGTTCAGCCATGAGGTTATCATTTCAGACAAAAAGCTACTTTGATTGGTATCAGTTGTAATCTTGGATATGTTGAAGTATAATGATTTTTATTATACTGTATAAAATAATATGATCAATTAGTCATGACAACATCTGTTTTTAGTTCATTGCAACCTATTAAACTAACTTAATCATGTTCTAACTTAACATTACCATAAAATAAGTTCAATGGGTTCAAGGTTAATTTGATTCAGCATTAAAAAAAATTAAGTCAACCAGTATTTTTTTATACTTGCTTACTAGTTCTAGTTTGAAAGCCAGGTGACTGACTAATGATTGCACATATAATGCTGACAATTGAATAGTAAAATGCAGTTTGATTATACATATACTAAATGATTATCATTGGTTTGTTGACGATATTTGGTCATTTTGTAAATATGAAGCAAGTGTTTTAAATGAGTCTGTATGTTGAATGGGCTATATGCACTGCTAGTGTTTTTCAGCCAATGATGAACTTCCGGGTTTTTGTGATCATAGTTGGGTAAACTAAGAACGCCGTGAATCAGAAAGAACAACAAATATTTTATTACAATCTGATTTGCTGAAATAATAACAGATAAACTCCACAATAGTGTTATCAAGACTTTCAAAAAGAGGGAAAAATAGTGTGAGACTGATAACGACAGCCAGAGGAGCGAATAATGTCAAATTTACTCTCAGGCTCATAGACGCTGCATTAGAAACCTCTTGCATAAGCAGTAATTCATTATTTGTAATTTGATGCAAAGATTAAATATTACATCCATAAATGCATAAAAATGTTTATACATTGTTGAAAATTGATTAAAAACTTAAAAATATTAAAAACTTTCAAGGATTTAAGATGTCATAACACGTCTGTGTCAGTCTTGTGATAAGGATCCATGTGATTTATTGTCCTGAAACACTCTTGAGTACAAAAGAGTTATACTTTTATAAATATAATAAACATTATCACGCCATCAATGCGTCTGAGGGTGACATTCAAAGGAATATTTCATTATGAATTGCACTCTGTGTTTATAATTGCAAAATAATTGCAAAAACATTGACGAAGATAAAAAAATGCATCGAAGAAAGCATTTGATCACAGCTATTTGGATAGAGTCACACAAACTCTGCAAATTCACCAGTGTAAAACAAATAGTAGTGAATTTTTTACAGAAATATTTGAAATGCAGAATATTTTTCATTGTACATTTTTAAAGTCAGAACTTGCACTATTTTCTGTAACTGCAAATGAATGTCTCTCTGTGACTAACAGGCTCATATGTGGCCTTTAAATCACCAGAAGGCCAGCTGGCCCATGCGGCCTCTCTAAACATAGTCCTTTATGTCATGCCTGTAACACCAGACTCCATCTGCACTCCATAGGTGATACCTGGCCTTATACCGGTATACCTTAGAGAGTTCCTGCGGTGGGTGTGGGATGCACGAAGATGGGAGAGGAAAATGGGCTAGGGCTGAGCAGACAGAATGGGAAATGTAAGCTAAACTGAAGAATGTGGAGTTGAATAAATGAGAGAAACCATGTGCAACAGAGCAGAGGGGGTTGCCGGGAAACAAACGCAACGAAACAAGAGAAAGAGGGAGGAGCTGGTGAAAGAGAAGCAACAGGTGGATGAAGAAAACGCCACATGTTGAGATCAAGCAGATGAAGAAGTAGTGATATTAACCTTCAGCAAGTGTGAATTCTCAGAAATGGACTTTTAAATGTCAAGAGATAATTACTGTGTCGTCCCAAATAAGTGTCCTTTAGGAGTTAACTCATATAGAGCTAAACATTAAAGAGGTTTAGTTTAATTTCAGCTTGGCGGTCTAAAATTAAAATGACCAAGCATGAAATGAGGACAAGTTCTTTAAGTAAGTAACGTCTTTGTGTCCACCAATAGTTTAAATGCCTCAGTGGATGAAATTTTTCGTATTTTCTAGGCTTATAGCACAACACATGGACATGACCACCTCAATCATTTTGGTTATACAATATATATATTGCCCATATATATTGCCCATATATAAAAACCTATTTTAGCAACATTTTAGCTGACTGTGCCACATCTCTATTTTTATTGGAGGTTAAAAAAACACTATAGTATTTACCATAAATTACTGTAGTATGTTTTCATGTGGGTGTCTGACAACTGAAAACATATATGGTACCAGATATCGTAGACTCTGTTACTTTTTACCTTGCACTTTTTTGTTAACATTTATTATTATTATTAGTATTATTATTATTATTTAGAATAGCGTTCCCATTCAGATTTCAGTGCCTAATTATTAGATTGTTAAAATGACTATAATTAAATTCAATATTCTTAAGAATTAAATAAGATGTGTTCTGTAAAAGTATGTACTTGCATTGTGATATTATATTGTTCTGGCATCATATAATAAATGTTTTAAAATGGTCTTAAAATGGCAGTAATATCGTTTATCACAATATATTTTGGTGCAATATATCGTACAACAAAAAAAATAGATATCTTGACAGGCCTAGCCTCTTGTGTTTTCTTAAGGAGTCGACTTGTCTACGGCGGACGTTTACACTCATTAGTACTCAAGCATTTAGTTGTTGACACACAATATGAACTGAGCTCTGCATGCTTGGTCTTCTAATGGAATTTGCCTTGTGGTAAGTTTTGTCAGTTTCTGGGTATGTCGTTAATTAAAAACCTGTGAGCTAACCATTGTGGGGAAGTTCTTTATACAGGATTCAGTTAAACTGTTCTCATTAACTGCTTTGAACTTGTTTCAGAGAAATGTAGAGACATAGGAGGAACAGGAAACATTCCATTGTATGCATTTTATCTCAACATAAATCTCATCAAGATTTCATTTATGTATTACATTTAATACACAGAACGCACACACATATTAGCATTGGATGATAACCTGTTTAAGATTTACTGCAGTTTAGAAAGGCAAAGTTTTAAAACAGCCAAATTTGTCTGTTATACCGTTCTTATGGTATGTTTACAATTGATTGTTTTGGGGGAGTTTGAGCGAAGTGCTGAAACCCAATTTTTTTGTCAGGATTATTATTTTTATTATTATTATTATTTTACTTCTGCCAATATAATTACCATAAAATTTGTCAGATGGTAATAGTCCTCACTGCTACTCAGATCCAAAGGCTTGTCCAAACCGGCCTATAAGTGGTGCTACATCACTGAAAACACAAATTTTAGTTTTTTTGGCCCACATTCATACACCGTTTTACGTAGACTTAAAAACTGTACATATTTGGAATCCTCGGGTCAGCCTGAACAAAAGTAGGGTCACTTAGATTTTCCCTATGACGCACTGTTTTTCAGCTACATCAAGCTTTGTGCGAAACCTACTTTTGCGAACTAGTCCTAGTCTTACATGTTTTTTTGTGAATATTTTTTTTTTAGGGCAAGAATATTTCCATCAGGAAAGGACCCTCCACATCAAAAACTACTGTTCCGAAATATTTTAAATGTTTCTTAAAAAAAATATATATTGTGTTCAAAGGAGGAAAATTTATGTTATGTACCCAGACATTTAAAATTAACTTATTTTAGAGCAAAAATCACAATACCGTAAACCGTGATATGCCTAGTCTTGATGGCACATAGTTTGCCTGTTCTCCGTGTGTTGGTGTGGGTTTCCTCCGGGTGCTCGGGATTTCCCCTGACTCCTAAGACATGAGCTATAGGTGAATTAAACTAAACTGGTTGTAGTGTATATGTGTGGGTGTTTCCTAGTTCTGGGTTGCGGCTGGAAGGGCATCCGCAGTGTAAAAGATATGCAGGAATAGTTGAAATAGAGACTAAGCTGAAAGAAAATTAATGAATCCAAATATATATATATATATATATATATATATATATATATATATATATGTGTGTGTGTGTGTGTGATTTGTAAACTAAAGTCATTTAGCTCCTGAATGTTTACTTGTTTGAAGTCAAATGTAGCTATGCTAGTAGATTCTAACATCTGTCTTATCTTTCTGTTTTGTTTTTGTTTTTGGTCTCTGCTGTTCAGGTGGTGAGACTCGACACCATGCAGGGACCTCGGAGGAAGGTGAAGGTCATGGCGATGATGACAATGGTGTTTCTCTTCATAGTGGTGGAGGTCTCTCGCAATGCTGGGAAGGGCAGCAGCAGTAAAAACAAGTCTCTGGTTCCCTTGAAGCGTTTCTGGGCAAAAGATCTTCCCAGCGACGCCTATTGGAATCGGCAACAGCAGCAGATTAACTACATCAACAACCGCAACCTAGAAAAGCTCAACTACACAATTGATAATCTTCCAGACTGGCTAAACGACACCGTCAGCCTGGACTCATGTGACCCAGACTATAGAGTGACCACCCAAGTGAAGGATTACAACTCTTTACCTGATCGATTCAAGGACTTCCTGCTTTACATGCGCTGCAGGTCCTATCCCATAGTTGTGGACCAACCAAACATATGCAAAAAACAACCGTTCCTTTTCCTAGCCATTAAATCTTTAGTCCCACACTTTGACCGACGTCAAGCTATCCGTGAGTCATGGGGCAAAGTTGGCCGCATTGCGAACAGATCCGTCGTTACGGTGTTTCTTCTGGGAAATGCGGCCACCGAGGACCACTTTCCTGACCTCTCAAAGATGCTCCATCACGAGAGCTCCATTCACAGAGATATCCTTCAGTGGGACTACAGGGACACCTTCTTCAACCTCACTATCAAGGAGGTGCTTTTTCTGGAATGGCTGAGCACGCGCTGTCCTGGAGCCAATTTCATCTTTAAGGGCGATGACGATGTTTTTGTTAACACCATCCACATCATAGACTTCCTAACTAATCTTTCTAATGCCAAAGCAAGGGAACTGTTTGTGGGGGATGTGATTACTAACGCTGGGCCACACAGGGACAAAAAGGTGAAGTATTTTATACCTGAGAGCATGTTTGTTGGAATGTACCCTGCATACGCTGGAGGGGGAGGTTATTTGTTTTCGGGACAGCTGGCGCAGAGACTTCACAACATCTCGAAGTTGGTGCCCCTCTACCCCATTGATGATGTCTACACGGGTATGTGCCTTATGAAAATGGGCCTCGCGCCTGAGAAGCACAAAGGCTTCAGGACGTTTGATATCGAAGAGAAATATCGCGATAACGCCTGTGCCTATAAGAGCTTAATGCTGGTCCATCCCAGAAGTCCTCAGCATATGATCAAAATATGGGCCTGGCTGAATGACCCAGCCTTGAACTGTCAGTGAACAGCTGCTGCTCATAGGTTTTACAGATTAAACAAAACTCAAGGGCGTCTCATATTGAAATGTGATTTTGGAACATTTTCAAAACCAGTTCCAGTGAGTTTAGCATGTGACGCTCATGTGGTTTTTCTACAAGGGATTGGCTGCTTTAAAGGGATAGTCCACTGAAAAATCACAATTCTGTCATTGTTTATTCACTCTCATGACTTTTTAAAACTGTGGGATTGAACTCTCTTGGTTTTTATGAACCAAATTATTATTATTATTATTATTATTATCTGAGATTCAGAGTTGTGTTTGAACCCCGCTGACTTTGTTTATAGATTAAATATTTTCGTGTGTGTTCGTCTGACAACAGTTTGAAATGACATGAGGGCGAGTAAACATTGACAGAATTTTCTTTGTGGTGAGCTCTCCCTTTAATGTTTTACAATTCCATTTATTATTAGCATTCTGATGTACTTCATTTCATGTCAAAGGTCAGAGCCCTAAGCTTGTTGGATGTATATATTTTAATGTGGCTCAGAATTACTGCACACAAGTATTGCAAGGGGTTAACTTTTGGTTGACATTCTGTTAAAAATGTTACAAGTATTTATACAGTGCTCTCTGGTTTGTGTTATCAGAGGTACTAAGCATTGTGGGAAATGTAGTTCAGCTGGTCTGAACATGGCACAAGCAATTCACCACTCACATGAACACTCTGTTGGACATATGTAGAACTTTTTTTTTTTTTTTTTTTCTCCTATGGGAGAAGTGAGATGCATTTAAAGGATCGGATGTTTTATACTTTACTTTTTGTTGCTTTAGGTCATTTATGCAGCCATCACAAGGCTAATCTCTTGGTCTGTACTTGCCGTTTTAGTTCTCTGCAATGTGAATGAACATGCTGCCCTCTTGTTTTGCACACAAACAGCCTAAAAGCAGAGGCGAGTGTGTTTTCAGAGAAATGAAGAGTTTGCTCCTTTTAGAGCCCTGCTAATTGGGACAGCGGTTTCTGAAACCTAAATATTTAGCCTAAATATAGGTTGCCCACACACACTTGGAAATATGTGCTTGTGCACAGACCTTCTTTCTTCTGATTTACTTATTTAATTTGCAGACAATCAATTTCAAGACACAATGGAACTTTTTGTATTAACATTTTACCCAAGGTTGCGTTATTGTCAGCAGAATGTACAACAATAATTTCTGACAGAAAAACAAAACCGACTAAAAGCTTGTTTCTGTCTCTGATCTGATTCTAAACCTTCTCAGGACGTTCCTTAGGGTAAAAATATCAAGGTTGTGATTCAAATAAGAAACATACCTAATGTAGCTTCTTGGCTAAACGCATTCAATTTGACTTTTTCAGTTTTGGATTATTCCTGTTGCTGTAGTGTTTTTGTGCTGTTATTTTCCACCTTTAAAAAGAGGCCAGGAAGCAGGTCTCGGCTGGATGACTTGATTATTATGTGTTACGATGACCCCTGCTGGGCTGAATGATATTTTTTTTTAAATCAACACTGGACCTCTTTTTTTAAAGTGGTAGCTCACCCAAAAAAATGCACATTACCTCATTTAGTCTCTCTCATTTGCTTTTTAAAACTGTTGAGTTTCTTTCTGTCGAACACAAATGAAGATATTTTGAAGAATGTGGGTTCCTGGCACCCATCAAATGACCATAGAAGAATAGAAGTCAATGGGGGCCAGTAACCAGGATTCTTCAAATTATCTTCTTTTGTGTTCAGCAGAAGAATGAAACTCAAATCGGTTTTGAATGAGTGAACTGTGAGTAAGTGATATCATTTAATTTTTGGATTAACTATCGCTTTAAGTCTGGGGTACCCAAACTTGGGCCGGTGTCTGGCATAGCTAAGCTCCAACTTGCTTTAACACACCTGCCTTGAAGATTCTAGTATAGGCAGAAAGAGATTGATTAGCTGGTGCAGGTTTAATTGGGGTTGGAACTTAAATATGTAGGACACCGGGTTTGGGCACCCCTGCTTTAAATCCTGTATATGGCCTGTCTGTAGTAGAACAAATGTATATTTCCCTCTCACTTTTGAGTGGGGACTATTTATCAGCTGTTTCTCTTACGAATATAAAGAGGTGTACACCTAGTAAGCTTTCTGCTCACGAAATATTCTCTATTTTTCTGCGGTCTGCCTCACCGTGTTTGCTGAACAGTTTAATCAACTTGGTTTATAGAGTTTCAAATCAAATTGTCCACCAAGCTATGGAAAAATGAGGACCATAAGGATGTTTCATATCGTCTCTCTGCTGATGGTCAGAAAGGCACACCGGATGTAGTGTTTGGTGAAAGAAACAAAGTGTTTACATGTGTTCTTAAACAGTGAGAAAAGCTTGTGTTTTCTAGTATATGAATCATGATAGACAGGTTTTTTATACACTGGTATTTACTGTACTCCTGTGAAGTCTACAGGACATTGTTTGTGCTTCTGAGCGAAATAGATGATATTGTTCACAGCTTTAATGTTTGTATACCGGAAGTGTAGTTGAGTTTTTTTTTTTTTTTTTTTTTTTGCTTCTGCCTTAATGATGCATCATAATTAACTCAAATGTTACAATGCGATGTGTTGGATTAAGTGTGTCTTTAGTGTTGTGCGTGTCTGTGTATTTATGTGGATGTGTAGCTATATAAAGGCTAAGAAGTCAGATCGTGATAATCCAGTTCTAAACAAGAAATAATTGCGGCTTTTTTATTAAATGATTGTTTTGAATTTATGATTTGTTCATTTCTCAGCCATATCTGTCGATTTCTTTAAAATGTAAAGGCGTTCACTTGACTAAAGTTTTTAGGAAGATGTTTTGACACCCTTCAAACACTGCAACCAACATGTGCCTTTAATAATTGTGATTGATTGTTTGCCTGGCAGTCCTTCTGTAACTGAAAATGCACATGTATGTTTATTTTGCCTTGCCTCTTTCTGATTTAATTGATCTAATAAATGGACAAACTGATCAGATGTTTATCAAAACAATGTTTAAACTGTCGTACCTCTGGTATTTCCATCTTGTGTTTTTGTTTAAATAGTTATTTTCTCTTTAATTCAGCTTAAAGTGGCATCTTTTGCTAGAACTATTGGAAAAGGTACAATATTAATATTTGTGTTCTAAACATTTGAGATAAAAATTGTAATAATTTAGATCAAATAGAAAATATTCACATTTAATGTTTTTATTTTAGAAAATGACATTTGGTCAAAAAAGCATTTCAATTTTTTCTTAAGTCAATATTTATTTATAAAAAGCTTTTTAAAATCAACAAGTGCTGACCAAAGGTGCTGTACACACATACACCATCTCAAACAAAGGACAAATACAACAGACACAAGACTCTTGCATGGTATTAAAAACCAAAGAGTAAAAATGGGTTTTAAGACTAGATTTAAAAACAGAAAGGGTTTGTATTGTCAGCATAACATGGAGATGGTTTAGGGGCAACCATTGCAAAGGCACGGTCTCCCCTTATTTTTAATCTTATATGTGGAACAGCCAAAAGTAGCCGAAAGTGCCCTTGGAGTGTACAGGTAAATTAATGCAGACCGGTATCTTGGTGCTAGTCTATTTAGGCATTTAAACGCAAAATTAAAATCTTAAAATATATTCTACACTGAGGAAGCCAGTAAAGAGAAGCTAGAATAGGGGTGTAATGCGTTCTCGTTTGTATGTCTCTATCAGCAAATGAGCAGCAGCATTCTGCACCATCTGCAGACGAGTATGGAGGCATGGCGAATACCCACAAGAGGGCATTACAATAATCGAGCCGAGTTCAGATAAAAATATGTTCTAAGTTGTTAAAAGACAGAAAAGACTTGAGTTTGGATAACTGCCTCAACTGGAAAAAAAACTAGCTTTAATTCCTGAATTCATCTGTTTGAAACACAGCTTAAAGTCTTTATAACACTCAGGGTTTTCACAATAGGATTTAAAATTTCTGATTTGAAATCGTGATTATTTAAACCAAATATTGACCTCTTAACTCTTGAGGAAGTAAAACATTGTTTTGCCAAAAAATACTGACATCATGGCACAATTTTGTTATTTATTTTATTTTAATTATGGGAGAAACATCATCAGTAGTTTACAGAATGTAATTGTATTTTACTCAAAAGCATAAATGTAAATTAATGAATATATTAATATTAAATTAATATTATCAGAGATGCCCAAGCTAGGGCCCGCAGGTCAAAGTTGGCCCATAAGTAACCTTTAATTTGTCCCATCACCTCTCTCAAAAGAGAGAGAGAGAGAGAATGTAAATTACAATTCAAATGTAATTTAACCCTTTGTTTATTGTACAGGCTAACTGAAATTAAATGTTTTAATTTAATGTGTAAATTAATCAGATTTTGTTTAAATGTACATATTGACACCTGGCAATACAGACACTTAGGTAAGTAAATTATGTCAAAGACAGATTCTGCTTGAATAGTGTATTCAGCATTATCACTGTAATTGTTTGTGTTTTTATTGCAATAAGTTATTTATTTAAAAATATTAGGAAATAAATTAGGAAATTACCCATGACAACTTTAATGAAATACTGGTATATTTACCTTCGGCCCACGGCTTGTAATAATATTTGTTTTTGGGCCTTTCATATGAAAAAATGTGGGCACCCTAGATCAAGCAAATCTGAGAACGTTCAAGTGTTTTTGTCCTTAGCTGTATATTTCTGCTTGTTACACTTTTGAACCACTAGAAGGCGAGGTGGTGCTTTTAGTGGCATTCAGTGTGCCAGGAGTCTTTGCAGTGCTCATTTTTTTGTCATTCCATTCTGCACATACATTATCAGTAATTTCTTAAATCTGGATGTCACTCTCTCTATGATTTACGAAGGTGCTTTGTCATGATCGGTGCTGTGAAACTATCTTGTTCCAACATGCAGAGTAATTTTTCCTCCAACACTCTGACATTTAATTATAGCGGCGCTCACAAATCATCTGCGGCTCTGTAAGAGGCCTAGAGAGATCCCCTAAACAGAATTTTCATACCTAACTGCATTTAACATTTCCCCAGTGCAAAAAGCCCTAAATCTTATTCACACTTCCCATTTGATTGGTGTCATTTACTACCTGCAGAGATTACAATGTGGTACATGCACTTTCTTGTTTTGAGAGGAAGGTGGCTGCCAAAAAAAGAGCAGCTTAGGCATGGATGTTTTTAAATATATTATAAAACAGATAGTTCCTCTCCTTGGTGATATTTGGTTGGTTTTGGTCGGTTTAAAGTGACATTGCTAATTAAGAGAGTTAATTCTTTAAAAAAAATCCTGATCTAGATCAGCAGTTTCTGAAATACTCAGATCAACAAATATGCCACGTTCAAAGTCACTTAAATCACCTTTCTTCTCAATTCTGATGCTCAGTTTGAACTGCAGCAGACCGTCTTGACCATGTCTATATGCCTAAATGCATTGAGTCGCTGCCTTGTGATTGGCTGATTAGAAAAATGTGTTAACAAGCAGTTGGACGGGTGTACCTACTAAAGTAATGTAGCTAATACTAATGTAGTGGCAATTTTCCTTGCTTAGACATTAAAATGTTAGGGTTTTTTGAATATTTTGTAAGACCATTTCACTAGTTCAGTCAACCTCAACAAATCATCAAATCCTCCACAGTTGTAGAAACTTTTGTGTAAAAATGTGGGATATTTTAGTAAATTTCGAAATATATTTAGCAATACAAATATTTTGCCATAAAGCTTAATAATATTGTATGTTGTAATAGTCCTGTAAACTTTTAAATACAAAAAGATATATAATCATGCTACATTTTAATGTTAGTTTGCAAGGCAGAATGAAGAAAGGCATATTATTGTATGAGAAAATTGTGTGTGTGTGCGCGTGCGTGTATGTACTGCCTGCCCTTCTCTATCACCTTGTCCCTGAAGACCCAGATTAAGAGGACGAGTGTGGAGTTGCTATAGAGACTTTCTTCTCTCTCGGGATGAATGAAGAGATGCTCCTCGGTAAAACAATGAGCGTCAAAATGAGTGAAATTTCGTCTTGAATGACGGCCTGATTAGATGTGTACATTGTAAAACATTGCTGTAGTATACAGACAAATTAATATTCCTCACAGCCTCGGGATTGAGTAAACTAGTCTTGGGAATTTTCAATAGATTGTGTTTGTGTTACTGACAGCAGTGGGTTTGAATTACACGTTTAAGTTTTAGTTAATCTACAAATTTATAAAGATTATTAATTACTTACCTTTATGTAGTTCCAAGACCCCAAGAGCTTCGTTCATTTTCGAAATACAAAGTAAGATATGGGCGAAGCAGTGGCGCAGTAGGTAGTGCTGTCGTCTCACAGCAAGAAAGTCGCTGGTTCGAATCTTGGCTCAGTTGGTGTTTCTGTGTGGAGTTTGCATGTTCTCCCTGCCTTTGCGTGGGTTTCTTCCAGGTGCTCCAGTTTCCTCTACAGTCCAAATACATGAGGTACAGGTGAATTGGGTAGGCTAAATTGTCTGTAGTGTATGAATGTGTTTGTGTGTGGATGTTTCCCAGAGATGGCTTGTGGCTGGAAGGGCATCCACTGCATAAAAATTTGCTGGATGAGTTGGCGGTTCATTCCGCTGTGGCGACCTCGGATTAATAAAGGGACTAACCTGACAAGAAAATTAATGAAATTAAGATTTTCTGCATTTAATCTGAGAGCTCCCTCATCCACCATAGACAGCAAAGATTCTGGCTCATATATCAACTCCAGAAAAATGCAAAAACATCCTCAAAATACAGTATTCGGTGGTTCTATTAATGTTTTCAAACTATGAGAGATGATTTTATTCAACCTGTAAATGAGTTTCTTCTCCTAATTGTTAGCATAGGGCAACCCTTTCCCCAAAAAATGCCCACTCGCGACCTCTATTGGCGAATCCGAGGAATACGTCAGCAGCACGACCCACTGAGCACGACACGTGAACGCGGCCAAATTCTTCATCCACAAACAAAAATTTCTGAAATCCTCTCCCTCGTTTGCCCATTTTTTAATTGAAATTGATTCCATACTTAAAGCTATTCGTCTATCTAACAACAAGAAATTCTGCAAGTTAATAGAAACTTATGAAAATGTCATGCTTCCAGTGTGTAAATAATTAATGCTTTCTGTAATTATTTCTATTTTTTATTTTTTTTATTTATCTATTTTTTATTTAATTTTGTACCTGCCCCTTCCTCATTTCGTTCTCTTTTTTTATTCTATTTCTATTACTCCTTTCTTTTTAGTTATTATTCTTATAACTTTGTAATTGTATATTCTTGTATTCCAGTCTTGTACAAATTACTTCCTGAGTTATATTGTAAATTTCTTCTTTTCTAAATAAAAGTTTGTTTGAAAAAAAAAAAAAAAAAAAAAAAAAAAAAAAACCCGTGAACGCGGCCTATCATGTGAGTATGCTGACGGATATCTGGCGTCTGGTCTGGCGATGTACTCGGATGTAAACAGCATGACTTGCATGTACTACTGCAATCGTCGTTCTGTGAATGTATGATGTCTAAACGAAAACAAAATCTGCGAAATGTACTAAATTATGTTTATTAAGCAGAAAAGGGTGCCAAATTTTGTCAAAGCTAATTTAATGAGTGGTAAATTATGCGCATGAGCAGCATTAATTTGGATATTATCCTAATATTTTACTTTATCTTTCTTGACTGGAAATGATAGGAACAAACAAATGCTGTTAAGATCATGGTTCAGTTTGACTAACCGCAATCTTTTATCACTGTTGTGTTTTATTTGTTATTGCTTTTGGCAGTCTATAGTACTACTCTATATGTATATTTTCAGTCTGGCTGATTAATACAGTCAAAACATGACTATAATTGATCATTTGCAGCTGTAATAATCGGCAAAAAATTAGTCTCATTTGGTTGAGTGGCATTGTTTATGTTGATGACTCATCATGAGAACACACTACTGCAGATGAAGAGTGACGAGGTGTTGGAGCACACAGGGAATATAACATCATCACCTTTTACTT